GTGTTCACTGATGTTTTCTAAGTGTTAGAAGAGTTTGGGGGTTCGGTGGATGTCTGTTGCATGTGTAATTTTGTCAAAACTGTGTTAAGTTCTGAGACATCTTTGTGGAATAAGTATGTCATACTCTGCTCCCTATAAAGGCACATTAAAGGGTCTTGACCCTTCCTACAAGATCAGATAAGACATTCCAAAGCAGCAGCAAGTTGGGAGGGAACCTTTTTTATTTATTTTTTTTTTTTTCATGTATTTTGACTATGTTTTTCCCCTCCCAATTTCTCCCAGGTCCTCCTTGTTTTCCTGCCCACCCAATTTTATGTTTGTTTATTCTTTCTCTTTTTCTGTCTCAACAGGAAACACAGACACATAAAATGACCAATAAGATAAAAAAAAGTTCAAAGCAAAATGAGACAAAAGTCTACAAAATATTTAAAAATACACAAAAATTTTCAAAATTATTTTAAAATACAAAAATAATAGTTGTTGGCCAACTCCTCGTGGACATGGGGCCTGCCCTGAAGTGTGGTTAATATACTCAGTGAAACTCTAGTGGAGAAAACTGATTTTTTTTTTTCTTTTGCCAGTAGTTATAAATTGAAGATAGCTTCTTTGTTAGAGATGGGAGCCTTGGAGTCATATCTCTTGTGGATCTTAAAACCTTTACCCCCGCCTCTTCCATAGAGAGCCTTGAGCCTTAAGGGGAGAGGTTTGGTGAAGAAATCCCATTTGGTATTAATGCCCAAAAGCCTCACACTGCACAGTGTCCAGTTGCAGGTTTCTGTGGTAGTTTGGGAGAGAACCTTCTAAACTGAAGAGTAGGCCCGTTGAAAGAGAACTTGAGATGAGTGCAAACATTAGATTAAGTTTTTAGGAGACCAAGCATTGGAAAGGGGGCAGCAAGACTAGAATGGGAAATAAGACTTAGAGGTGTAAGTGGCCATCAGCATTGAGGTGAAGGTACTTGGAATGGCAAATGTATAATCATAGGTTCTTTGGGACTTGGTGTAAAGGAGAGACAGGGTTTTGTAGGTGAAGTCATATCCACTGTGGCTTGGGAAGCTTGTATGGATGAATGACACTCTAAAGTGTCATTGAGCCAAGAATACAGGAGAAAGAGTGAAGTTAATTTGGGGACATATGGAAAGCTGAGTGAAACTAAGTAATTAAACATATAGATCTGAAACCCAAAAGCAAAATACAGATATTTCTAGGAATGCAGCTACTCATATTGATTAAAATGTGGAAATAAAAACATTTTATATTTGGCCACATTATGATATGTAGGTCTTTGTTGACTATTTCTAAGAATTTATAGTATTTTTTTAATAAATAAAAAAGAGGCCAGGCGTGATGATGCACACCTTTAATCCCAGAACTCAGGAAACAGAGGCAGGCGAATCTCTTAAGTTTAAGGCCAGCCTGATCAGTATAGCAAGTTCCAGGACAGGATGGGAGGGAGGGGGGGGTGTAGAGGGAGAGAGAGAAAGAGGAGAAAAGGACACTAAAGCTGTTGATGAAGGTCTCCAGTCGCTTTAGTTGACAAGTTGAATGAATACCAATCTCATTTTATGATTGTGTGTACTGAGAGTTGTAAATTAGTCTCGTAATAACAGTTGGATGATTAAATACGTTCTAAGACTAAATAAAGACAAGCCAGGCAGTGGCACCGTACTCCTTTGATGCCAGGACTTGAGAGGCAAGAGGCAGGCAGATCTCTTGAGGTTTGAGGCCAGCCTGAGCTATAAAAGGAGTTCCAGGACAGCCAGGGCTACACAGAGAAACTCTGTCTTAGAAAACAAAAGACAGGATGAAGGGCCAGCATATTCTGTGCCTTTGTTCACGCCCAAGAAGGGGTTAGAGGTGCCGAGATGGGTTTTCTGAAGAAGACAGAACTGTTACATACTCATTATGTAGCCCCACCAACCTCTATAGAAGAGAGGCTTCTGTTTGCAGTCCTGTTCTTTCTACACGAACTGCTGAGAGACGCGGTCCCACTCACTCAGGGCGCTCTGCTCGCTAATGGCTGGGCTTCTAAGTTTGCCAGCCTCAGGGTAACAACAGCTGGCACCTTCACATTTTCAAAAGAACCTTCGAAAGACATGTGAGAATAAAGAATTCACTCAGGCATTTTGAGGAAGTAATTGAATTAAATCATGTTCATTCTCCAGTCATTTCTGCCAGTCCTTCAGAGTAGTCAGCTAGTTGTTCCCTTTGATAGTTAACAAAATGGTAATTTTACAAGGGAAATTTTTAAATTTAATCATGAAGGCTAATAATACTTAATAATGATCATGATGAAAATAGGAAAAGGTAGAAATAGCCAAATGCCCAGTAGTTAAAAAAATATATATATATATATATATATTGTGGTATGATCATATAGTGAAATACTGCACAGCAGCAAAAATTATCTTACTATAGTTGCCTGTGACAGTATTAGAAGTCAGATTTAAAAATACATATGCTATATGCTTCCGCTTATATTTGGTTCAAAAACTAAGTAACAGCACTCAGGAGGGCAGAGGCAAGTGGATCTCAGTGGTTCCAGGACAGCCAGAGCTACACAGAGAAACCCTGTCTTGGAAACAAAACAAAACAACAAACCAACAAAAACTACACAACAAGGAAATAGTCATCACAAGAAAAGGTCAGGGTGGTAGTTACCACTGTGAAGGAGGAAAAGCCCTGTAGTACTTGTGGTAATAGTCTCTTTCTGTTTCTTCTGGCTGGTGGCTTTATCAATATTTGGTTTGTAATAAATCATTCTACATTAAAAACAAATTATGTCCTTTAAAATTCACATGTAAAATATAAACATAGTAATATGAAAAACAATGCAACAGTAAATAAAGCTGCAGATTAAAATTTCAAGACATCTGTGGCATTGGCACCTTTTGAGCCCACATGGCTTAAAACAAATAAAAACCAAACCGTCACATGGAATAATTGAAGCTTGCCATCACACTGTTACTTACACCATCTTCTCTCCCACTCCATCCAGAGGCTAGTTCTTTGCCGAGGTGTTACATGCTTTCCCCGTGGCCTTCCCATCGATGCTTGGTGCTGGGGCACTTTATGTCTGAGGAAGGATTTCTGCTAAAATAAAAGAAAATACTTATCTTAGGTTTGGGCTTTTAACATTTAGTTTAGTTTATCATTTTCTTACATGGATGTGTCTACCCAAGAGGTCCTAGGAATTTATCTTTTTAGCAGTAAAATTGTAAGTGCATACCACTGTGCCTGGTTTGTTTACATGGGAGCTAGGATTGAACCTAAGTTCCTGTGCCTACACGGTACTTTACCTACTGAGCCATCTCCCCAACCATAGTCTTCACCTGAGGCTGACTGACAGACACATCAAGAAAAGTTTGCCTACTCTCATTCATTTGGTATGTAGTTAGTGAGCATCTCCTTAATGTTTAATTCGTATAATTATACATCTAGATGCTCGGCATATAAAAGTTGACTTAAACAAGTCTGAATTTATGGTAAGCTGTGACTCGCTTGTCTTAAACTGGCTAATGTGTGTTTATTGGGGTTTTTCATTTCTCTAAGAATGCCCTGTATTCTCTGTGTTGGTTTGAATATGTGTGAGTTGTGAGATGTTGGGCAAAGTATCCATTGGGAGGCTCTAGTTTCCTCTTCTGTTATTTAGTAGGAAACTTCTCCTTGTACCCCAACATTTTTATGATTGTGTCTCTTTCTGCTTACTAGAAAGTTGTGTATCAGTCTGCCTAAAGAATTTGTTATCAGCCATAGGATCTATGTGTAAAGCTGAAGGCCTTTAGAATTGCTGTCTTGTGCTTTATGGCTTGTGTGTTACTAATTTTTAAATTTTAAATTCAATTCTAGGTTATACCCCAGCTTTGGCCTGTGCTCCCAATAAGGATGTGGCTGACTGCCTGGCTCTCATTTTGGCCACCATGATGCCTGTCTCATCAAGTAGTCCGTTGTCATCCCTGACATTCAATGCCATTAACCGTTATACCAACACCTCAAAAACAGTTAGCTTTGAAGCCTTGCCTATCATGAGGAATGAACCTAGCTCCTATTGCAGTTTCAACAACATTGGTGGGGAACAGGAGTACTTGTACACTGATGTGGACGAGCTCAACGACTCTGATTCTGAGACCTACTGAAAGGCTGAGCCTGGGCCTCTACGGAAGCTCTGACACTGAAACTTCAAACCAGCTTTTTCAGGAAAAAAGCACTTTTCTTACTCAGACACAGATTCAACCTGAAGAAAGATCACGCAGTGAACAAATAGAAGTATTGTGATGACATTAGGAAGAAGAATCTTAAAGGCAAGTTTTGCAAAAGGAACTTCTAGAATCTTAATAATGACTTGACCAGTGGAAAACACATTGATGTCAGTTGCTTTGTGGGACTGTTTTAATTGGCTTTGCAGTGCCAGAAATTGGGACACTGCTCCCTGACCTGCTTATGTGGGCAACACTGCTGTTAAAGAAGAGATAAAAACACTAGGTTAAAATTTACCCATAAAATTAGAGCTAAATTTAAATGCAATAAAAGTTTCATATAATAGGCATTATGTTACACACCAAATTGCCATGGACCAAATAACGTACAGATTTTTTTATTAGAACTCCATTTTGTGGAAATGGAAATAGGTGGAATGAGACAGCTTCTAAAGCAAACTTCAATACTTCTGAAAATAAAGCTGAGATTTGGTTTGATGTTGATTTTTATTAAGAAAACATCTGAAAGCCTTTCAGTACTGTATTAAACCATAAGAAGAAGCAGATGTATTTTTACATTTTTATATAAAAGATCTTAAATTACAGTTTTTATAGAATTCAAGACCAGATGACTAGGTGCAGTGTGGGTAAAAGTACTTGTGACAGAGATATAGATTAGGTCAGGGCTGTTGCCCACTTTTGAGTGGTTTGGTTTTAAATTGAACTATTTTTGTTTAAGGGATGCCGTGAAGGAAATTGTTTATGGAATTAAAAACGGATTATTCCCTATTGTAATGTAGTGGCTCTGGGGAGTGGGGCTGTCTGAGACTCTACTTGGGGAGCACACGTTCATCACTTTTAGGTGACTTGGGGTCTCTGCGTTTGCGCTGGAGCGCTTTTACTGTTATTTATTTTAATCTTAACTTTGCCAAGCAAGAATCAAAATAAAAAAATGTTTAAAGACTCTTGTTACAAGACATTATCTAAAGCTAGTTGTGAATTCTATACAAACTGGAATTTTCAACATTTTTATGTAAAAGAAAACAATGTAAAAATACATCTGCTTTCTCTCATGGTTTAGTACAGTACTGTAAGGCATTCAGCTCTTTCTTTTTTTCTTTTCTTTTCTTTCTTTCTTTTTTTTTTTTTTTTAAAAAAAAACAGGATCTTTCTGTGTAGTCCTGGCTATCCTGGAACTCACTCTATAGAACAGGCTGGTCTTGAACTCACAGGGATCCACCTGCCTTTATCTCTCTGAGTGCTGGGGTTAAAGGTGTGTGCCACCAACACCTGGCTTCAGATATTTTCTTCATAAAAGTCAACATGAAACCATTTGACTCCATTTTCAGAAGTATTGAGGTTTGTTTTTGATGATGAGTCGTAACAAACAGAATCAGGTTACTCGGAAGGCATTTCTGTATTGGGCAAGAGTTAAAATCCTACAGGCTTTAGGTTCTACTCAGATCTAGAGCACATGTGCAGCTTGTCACTGTCGGAGAGAGATCGCCTGCCCAACTGAAGACGGCCTTTCAGGTAGTAGAGAAGAGGCTGACATGAGGCTTTTAAATAACACTCGTCTGTGCTTCGGTGTTTACTCTTAAGTGTCACTTTCCCGGTAGAATGAGTTCACACGGGAGGTCTCACTAGAGCTGAGTAAAGTTCCATCCATTGCAACAAACGATACTCAGTTTCATCTTAACCTTTTTGTATTGTGAAACTGGACCTTTATGACATTGTAAATTATCAGCTGGTTTTTCTGAATATAAAGTGTGAAAACACAGAACAGTATTTTGATCTATTTGATAATTTTGTGGGTTTTTTGAAGAATTAATGAGCATGTACATAGAAATAGTGACTGCTTGAATACTGTATTTACTTGCACTCTTTCAGTACATCAAGATTCCTGTATATTTTAGAGTATAATAAAACACAGATGTGAGTTGTATTTAATGAATAATGTATTTGTATCTGTGCATATTACTTAAAAATCTATAAAGTTTCTAGGGCATTGACTACTAGATTTTAAGCATTTTTTCTAAAATATTTACAAAATTATAAATATAATCTCCATCTTTTCTTTATAATATAAAGTCATAATGAACCCTTCCTGATTAATAGTGGTAGAAGGGTAAATATGCATTTTAAAGACCGTAGACTACATTTTCTATTGTACCTTTTAAAAAAGAAAACTCAAGAGGATTCTAAAAGTATACCATATGTGTGCTTTCTCTTTCCTTTTAGGAATTCTCTTCTGAATTCCCTGAGGGAATTTTCTAGAATCTCAGAATTGAAAGAGACCTGAGGTTCATCCAGTCTAACCTCTTAACAAATGCAGGAGTCCCTTCTCCAAGGTTGTCTTTCCACCTTGAACACTTCCAGTGACTACCTCACGAGCAGTCCATTGTTGAGCAGCTCTGTTAGGAAGGTCTCCTTAATGGAGTGGAAGCCTCCCTCCCGGTAACTTCTGTCCTTGGGCCCAGCTCTGTCCTCCAAGAGTGTTGGAAGGATGAATCTTCCACCCTCTGCCATGACTTCTTTCACAGGCTGTTGACTCCTTTTGCTGAAGTGATTTCCAGAAGGACTCATTAGACACATTGTCTCCACATCTATTGAGATCCAAGGTGTAGCTATAAAGTAACAAACTCATCTTTTAATTTATCCTCATGTGTCTGTAGAGACCACAGATACTGCATCATTTTATGTAAATGATGCCATAACTGAAAACATTGGGAGGTGGTTTGTGCTATTATCAGCCAGCTGGGAAAGCCGTTCCTTTGCTTTGTGATAGTTTGTCCCACGGGTTTTGGTGTGTGCTGGAAGAGGGAAGTTCTGAAGTCCTGTCCCAGAAAGTGTTGGCCAGCACCAGTATTCAGAGTAAATACAGGAGCAAAGCACAGCGCCATGAGTTACTTTATAGTTACACACACCCAGTGGGGGAAAAGCCCTGGACCTGGTTCTGTTGTGTTTTTATCCTCACCCACAAGGGAAAAGCCCATGAGCTTTAACGTGTGCGTGAAAGATGACATCTGAGATGTGTATTACAGTAATACCATATTTTGCTCAAAAACAACTTTGGGGAAATAGTGATGATAGGTGACCTCGAACAGTGCCATTTATAGTTCAGGAGATCTCTAAATGTAGCTGTAAATTTGGGGTTAATTTGGCTTCATATATTGGATCTTTTAAATGAAATAAATTTTAATGCAAAAATTGAAGTGTCTTTCTTCTTTTACATATACAGAATTTTTCCCTTTAAAATGTGTTAACTTATGGCAGGTTTTTGTTTCTGGGTCTCAATACAGCCAGAATAAATTCCAGCTTGTTCTTCCTCCACCTCCAAGTGCTGGGATTACAGGTATGTGCTTCTATGCCCAGCTGTGGGTTTTACCCTGAAATTTTCAGTGGCTTTTTAGTAAACTTATTTTAGACTTTTGAACTTACCTAAATGAATCTTTCAAATGTATTAACAAGTATTTATTCCTTACCTGCTTTGTACCTGGGGGTAGCAGTGGGCAGAATGGTTGGTGGCGGGATCCTTTAACAGCTAAGAGTTTCATAATGAGATGGTGTAGCAAGATAAACTGCCAAGGAAGGCAAGAACGAGAGAGAGAGAGAGAGAGAAAGCGAATGAGCTTTGTGGAGAAGGTGACACTGAGGCTGGGCATTGAGAAACAAGTCTGTGGGCAGGTGAAGAAGGACTGAGTAAAAGATTTCCTAGGTTCGAGAGCAGAGCCAGTGGGTCTCAGGCACTTGGAAGAGGGCAGTATGGGGCACAGTGCTCTTCAGCACTTAGCATTCATGACTCTGAAAAGAGACTGTAGGCAATTATATGGAGCTTAGATAGCAAGCATAAAAACAGGTATGTTTGAATAGCTGGTTGGGCAACAGATAAAGGGGGGCGATAATCTTTCTTGAAGTCATCTCTGCAGGTAAACAATAATAGAAAAGGCCAGTAGAGCATTTATCACCTACCAGGCAAAGACAGAAATGCTTGAAACATGTTATCTCTTAATCCCCATGACTGCCTATGAGGTAAGCACTATCAGTAGCATTTAACATGTGGAAGCAGATAAAGTAACTTTTAGCCACAGTCTTAACTTTTAAAGCCGGGATTCAAGTGCAGTCAGTCCTCTTCTGCCCGTTAGCCCTTCAGTTTCTAACATGTTTGCTGGCTGTCTGGTTCTTATCCTGACTTCAAAATTGTTAAATTCCCTTCAGTTTTATTCTCATAGATCACTATTTGTAGAATAAACAATCGTGGCGGCAAGGATACTGAACACATGCTACTTGCAGCGAAGCCGAGGCCCTGGGTGTGGAGAGGTACGGGAGAGTGGAGTGTCGTTCACCCTTGGGCTGGAGTGGAACCAGAAAGCCTGCCATCTGCTCACCTCAGTTCCTGTTGCCATCTTTAGCACCCTATATTTTACTAGCTCAAAATAACCCTCACACCTTTCTTTGTAGGTTGGCTGACACAGGCTTGTGGAGTGACTGCTTCGAGCCTGGGGCCTTCACAGGGGCTTGGCCACCTCTTAGGAGCTGCTCTCCATCTGTTTATCTGTGCTCCCTGAGCCTGGGTTGAAATACAAGAAGTTACGTGGAAAGTTTTTATGAGCCTGGGAGGAATTGTGACCACAACTGACATAATTTGTACTCCGTCCGTCACACCTGCTGCCACTCCGCTGGGTTTAGCAAGTGGCATGGCAAACCCGCCTCTCTAGGATGGGGGAGGATGGCTTGGGAGCAGTTCACATAGTCCTGAGGTGATGTGCCAGCTAATTGGTTGCACTTGGAAGTCTATTTCATGCCTGCTCCTCCTCCTCGTTTCTGTGCTTCCCTCTCCTGTTTGTTTGTTCCTTTTGAGACGGGGTCTTGCTGTGTAGCCTAAATTGACATCAAACTTGTAACCTCTTGCTTCCATCTTCTGAGTGCTTCGATCGCGGGAGTGTACTGCTGTCATGGTCAGTTCTCGGTCCCCTTCTAGTGTGGGTGGTCTGGGGGCTGGAGAGCTTGGGGACGTTCAGAGGAGTTGATACTGTTGAATCTACTCTTTTCCAAAGATAGGAAGCCAACCTCTGCCCACCACAGCTCCCAGAAGAGCTTGTGTCTCATGCCTCGCTGTGCTCAGCCTTCTCCAAAGCAGATGCCAGACTGAAGGGAGGCGATAAAGCTTGGATAGTGGCTGCCTCTAAAAATCAGAGAAGATGGTGATGGACAGGCTGTGTGCCGCCAGCTCTCCGTCCTTCAGCGCTGCTGTGTCCCCATCCTGCTGTACTCTCTCTCACACTTGCAATTTGACTACTGCGTTTTGTTTTGTTTTTAGAAAGAAAAATGCCTTCTAACATTAATTGTAGATGATAGATTCTATTTCTTTCTGCTGTTTTAGCTAGATTTTAAAACAAAACTTTAATAATGATTTAAGTCTTTTTGTTTTGTTTTTGATGGTGGTATTAGTTGGCTTTTTATTTTGTTTTGGGTTTTTTTTTTGGGGGGGGAGTTGTTTTCGAGACAGGGTTTCTCTGTATAGCCTTGGCTGTCTTGAAACTTAGTCCATAGATCAGGCTGGCCTTGAACTCATAGATCCATGTGCCTCTGTCTCCCCTAGTACTGTGATTAAAGGCATGTGCCACCATTGCCTGGCCCATTTTATTATTTTTGACTGGTACAGAGAATCTTTGAAATAAATTTGGTGTGATATATTATATTCATAAGACTGTTGAAAGGTTAGGTAAAAGAGTTTTACCTATTTGTGAATAAGGTTTTTTGGGGGTAGAGTTGTTTTTTTGGTTGGTTGGTTTGTTTTTGGAGATGGAGTTTCCATGTAGCCCTGGCTGTCCTAGAACTTTCTTTGTAGTCCAGGCTGGCCTGGAAATCAGATCCACCTGCCTCTGCCTGCCAAGTGCACCACCACCTGACTCAACATTTTCTAAGCACATGGTATGTTGAAAGTGAATGAAAAACAGAAGTAAAAAGGAAAGGACATGACTGCTCCTAGGTAGGTGGAGGATAGATTTTCTTGTAGATAAAAGGAAGAGCATAGGTAGAGGCAGGGACGTATGGGAGAGCCCAGAGCGGACATGACCCCAAATCATGTGAGGGGTGGGGAGGGAAGAGCAGCTGCCAGCCAGGAGATGGGACCAGGTAACCGAAGTGATTGGTTTATATAGGGATGGGCGGCCCACTCTGGGTTGGAGGAGTTTGGGGCAGAGGCCGGGCTATGCCAGCCAGAATGGCCCTGAAAATGTAGGCAGGGGCTCAGGAATCGGAAAGAACCTGTCGGGTCTGCTTTGATTGCTAGGTAGGCACCCAGCCATTCGTCCAGGGTTTAAGGCCTAACAGAAAGCATGCTCTTAAATAATGGAACTACTGGGACCAGGTGAAGTCCTTGCCCTCGGAATGCTTATGCCTTGATCAGAGACAGGAAAGAAAAATCCAGATAATTACTTGCTGACTGAATGCTGGTGTGTGAGGACGTGAAGGTTGCTTTTTTACACACTGAGGATTACACAGATATTTCTGGTAAAAAGTGACAATAATAAGTAAAAAGTGCTGAGTAAGTAAGGATATTCAAACTTGTGGGAGCAGAAAAGATGAAGACACTGAGCGAACCTGGCAGCACCAACCACAGCGTGTCACAGGTTCACCCAGGAGCCTTTTGTCCTTTGTTTTGTTGAATTGTTTTGATTTTTGTTTGTTTGAGCTGTACTGTGGATTGAACTCAAGGCCTCAGATACACTAGGCAAACCCACAGAGCCCCATACCCAGCCCTTCAATTTTCTTTTGAGCTAGTTTGTCGAATGTGAGCCCTCTTTGAATGCCAGCATCTAACTGGCTTTGCCTCCAGATAGCCTTAAAGATGGCACAACACTTGAATTGGAGAAGCACTGCTTTCTAAAGCATGAGCTTTATACAAATAAGGAACACTTAGAAAACAGGGGACGTTGGTTCTCAAAAGTAGCAGCAGGCACTGTGACCGCTAGGCTGTGGCCTAACAGAGACGGCCAGAATGCCCATTTCGTATGGACTGGAAAACTTGCAGGTAACTTCTGCTGCCTTGGTAGCCTGGTGTGAGCTCACATTCTGGTCACTGAGGCACAACATACATGAAAGAAAAGTTCCTTGTGGTTGTGATAGCGAAGCCTTAAAACGGGAGTTGCCAAGCAAGATCCAAGTGGATGAATGAAGATAGTTCAAGGCAAAGGTGCTTCTGGAGGAGAGGGGCCTCCTTTCAGCTGAGCAGCCATGAGTGTTAAAAGAGCATGCAGGAAAAATCGTGTAGTTGCCTGCAGCTTCATGATGTCGGACATCTGAAGCCAAACTTTGGTCCTGCGAGTCTGGGTTTAGGACTCCATCTCCATTCTTCCCCAGGGCTGTGCTACCGATGGAGCAGTGTGCCCAAGCTGGCAGCCTGTGCTTCACTAAAAGTCCCTAATCCCTAGGAAGAAGGATGGCCAGGGCCATAGGAGTGTCCAGGCCAGACATGTGAGGGGCTTGGATGAGCAAGGTAGCTTCCAGCCTTATCCATACCCTAGCCACATGCCTTACCAGCTGAGCTGAGAGGACACAGCAGCTTCCCACCACTGGCTTAGGAGAACTGCTCTGTTGCTTGCGTTCTATGACCCCAGCGAGGATGCTGGTGAGAAAAAGAAGGGCTGTTCTCCATCAAGGAGGTGCTGACCAGAGAATACACCACTGTATTTATTAGCACACTCTTGGAGTGAGCTTCAAGAAGCATGCCCACCTGAGCTCCAGACATGTACCACGAAGTATGGAGACTCCAGATGTGCACACTGATGCCAGGCCCAGCAAAGACATCTGCACCAAAAGGGTAATGGTTGTGTGCATCTATCCAGAAAATGTGAGGATTTGCCAAACAAGCCCTATTTTGGCAACCTGCGTCCCTGTTACCACATTCAGAAATCTAGTCAGTCAGTATAGAGAAATTATGACTGTCAAATACAGTCAGGAAACCTCAGTTAATAAAAAAGGCTTCTGCCAGGTGATGATGATGAAAATGGCTGAAGAAGCAGTTTGGTATTTGCCTCACAGAAGCAATGGTAAACTAGCAAACTGTCAGAACTGAATTTCCCAAATTGGATTAGATGGCTGCCAGCGACCTCCAGAGTATGAGTTTAGAAAAAAGCCCTGACTATAAGAACAGCAAATGCCCCAGCCTTTGCCCGGTTGTACCCCTCACTCTCTAATTCTGTAGT